TACATCAGTATTATCTGTGTCATTTCCCCTTTCTAGTCATTGTACAGAACATAGAATGAAAAACAGGAGCAGGGTAGTACTTAATGTCGGTTGATGGTAGGCAATGAACCAGTATGTGTGGCTAGGAAACTGACTGGTTGCAGGTATACAAGAAATTTTCCCCAATGTCAGACTAGGATACATAACATTATTAGGCTCATTTGACTCGGTTGCCATCAGGTAACTGATTAAGTATTAACTTTCCTCGGGAAACTGATGGAGGGAACGGGGTGAGGAGCAGACGGAGAGTAACTGCCCTCGGCTTCAGTTCACGAGTGTTTCAATGGTTCTTCTTGCAAGTGTTTATTCAATTCTATGTGTATGCATCGGTATTCTCTTTGTCATCTCCCCTCTCTGGTTGACTTTGGGCAGTTGCCAGTTCGTTAATTTTGTTGCCCATACAGAACCTGCCCGTTTCCATATGTCAAAAGAGCCGTGTACACCCATTCGGGATAAAATTTGTCGTTAATTTAGGCCTTGACACTTTGCCATGGCCTGACAAGAACACGTCGGGGAAATAGGCTATGTCTCGCTGCACTGCCAGCTTGCGATTGGTAAAATAGCGTAAATGGGGGGAGAAAAGCTATGACGGGATTTTGATGCACTTTACAAAAGCCCCGTCACATTCTTCGAACTTTATAGCAGTCTCTGAATGCTCAACATTGCTTTCTGGTGAGTTAAAAAAAAGACATTCAGCATACGGTGTGCAAAAATGCAAGAAGTACGGGGGAGAGGCGTACGCGTGAGTAAAGTAGAACATGAAGGAGCCGAGGTTGGGATTCTTCTTGTATTCAGCCTCGCGTAGGCGCGCCTCGCTGTCCGAGATGAGTTCACCCGCATACTCAACAATGAACTCGCCAGCAGAGAAAGTGCGAGTACTAATCACACCGCGACCCTTCACGTCGGTAAAAATCACCTAAAAGGAGGGAAGCAATGAGGAAATGAGTAGACGAGTGGAAAGGCACGAAAACCTTCGAAGTGGTACAAAGGTATGCGAGGAAAACAATAACCGAGAAGAGAACGAGAATAATAGTAATAATAATAATAAGGTGGAGGAGGAGAAGAAGAAGAAGAAGAAGAAGAAGAAGAAGAAGAAGAAGGAGGAGGAGGAGATGGTGGAGGAGTTAACCAGTGTCCTTTCAGTGTAAACATCCCTTCAATAAAAGAAAAGAAGGACGTCGGAAGTAGGAAGTAGACAAAGAACCGGTGGTTCGGAATGGTGT